ACACATTCCACCGTCCGCAACGAACTACACTTTAATCACACCCTGAAACAGCTGAGTCAAAAAATGGGGTACAAAAGAATTTGCGACATGAGCTTAAACAAATATAGAAGTTTCTTCAGGAAAATCATAGAAGTTCAGGATATGCAGTCCATCGTTGTCAGATCGCACATCACTCGATAGCATTGCATCACCGGTAGGAAAACGTCCCGAATACAAAAGCAGTGTCCCACCGCCACCTGGAGCTCTATTCCTTCCAGGATTTGGCACGGTTAGTTTCAATTTATGTTCTTAACCATTCAAGTTGCAGTAAAATGATCGCGCGGTAATCTGTCAGGCCAGCGATCATACGCTTGGCTTTGGGACCAAATGTGGCCCAGACATTACCAACTCTTCTTCCATACGTTCCAATGACCTCTAAGGAAAACAGCGCTAGTTACCCGAAAAGGGCATTTGCAAGATTCCCTTTGTAGAACTGGGGCTGCAGCAGCAGAAACGAAGCCTATTGCCTCAATGGGAAGAGAGTTCTGGACAGATGAATCAATTCCGTGAACGGCAATCCCATCCTTGTCCACTTTCGATCACAATGGGAAAACACCATGTACGCCAGCAGTGACAAGTGGTGCCGGGGCGCGCATCCGAGGTAAAATCCTGGATCGTATTCCGCCTCGGTCAAACAACCCTTCCATCCCTCCATAGCTAGTAAACTGGAACAAATTCGTCTTCTGGGTGAAAAAACACAGATTTGTTAATTGACTGACCCTCGCAAGTCACTGTATAGGCTAAATTGCATTCAAAAGTCACTACGATTCTAGATGGCAGTAATGTGGGTGGCGCACCTTAAAAATTGTTGATTCACGCCGGGAACTTAACCTTTTTATCCTTTATTTGAACCATATTGCCCCAACAATCACTGCGTAGGGCAGCTTACCATTCAAATGCCACCACATTTCCTATCAAAGGCCCAACGCGTAGCGCGAACCGCACAGAATGATCCACGCCAAGCGAACTATCTCGCATCTACATAGCGTATTGCTCACGCTGGCTTATTTGAAGCATGATGTTTTCGCCATTTTTCGACCCCTTTTCGAATGCGACATACATTCCACTTCCATTCAGAATTGTAGTGACTTAGTGAATGCGATGTGGCCATAGACTAGTGGGGCCAATAAGACGCTATTTACTTGTGCGGGCCCTCAGCCAGCGTACAAATGACTGTTCTTATTCTCGCAGACGAATCTGGTATCACGAATGTGGTAAATTCACCTGGAGGATAGAGGGCTTGGTGGGCTTGGGCGAGGACGATCTGGATTGACCCCGGACCGAGCCTTGGTTGTTAAGCCACTTGTCGCTATACCATATCTGCCTAGCATTTATCACTCCAAAAATGCGGGTTTTTACTCGCCAGCATAGGCAACCACATGAATCAACAATTTTTGAAATGCGCCACTTACATTACTTCCATCTAGGCATCGTAGTGACTTTATATGCATGCAATTTATATGGCAGTGACTTGCCGAGTGGTACCTTCAGATCAACTGTATTTGGGGAACTTGTATATGTAAGATGTTCCGATCTTTTTTTCTCACGTATGCCTTATGCACACGTAATAAACTTATACTTATGAAACCTTAATTAGTTTTATCTATCAGAAACTATAGAAATTCAGACTAATTGGCAGTATTTCCAGAGCCTCCCTACGTAAATGAAGTCGGTGATCACGAAAACGATTGACATTGCAGGCGTTAACAATAAAGAAGGGGGAATGTCTCGCTGTGTGGATGGTGATTATAACCCTGCGACCAAAGCAATAAGTGGCCTATGAACGACGTCTCGACTGAATCTATAGCGACAATAACTTAACATATAAAAGTTAATATTATGTTGTGTCGACCTCATCGCTTACGTTCGTAAACAAAAAACCAACGAGAACACCGCCCGCATCACACAGACCAAACCCAATCCGAATATTTGGAACTGCTCTCAGACACCGATTAGGAAGTAAGTTGCCCACATATTGTTTGGCGAGCCAGGACTGGGTGTACAGCAAAAGTTTTCAACCGACGGGAGAATAGCACAATTCGGATGATCAGCAGCTCGATGTTTCCGAACAATGCATACCAAGGAAAAGCATAGGTATAGATCTGCCGATTTAGGAGAATAAGTGAACCGGGGATCGGTCGTTCTAGAAGTCATGTTCAGCAGAACTTCGCACTGCCGGCTCCCCTGTCCCAAAGTATGGACGTGGACTTATCGCATTCTTTCTTTTCCACGTCAAAGTACTATTACATGATTTCCATTCGAAAAGTACTTCAAAATCAACAATTTATTTTACGTAACATACAAAACAACACACTTTTAGGCCTTAACAGCATACTTGCGCATAGGGAATGCTCTCTGTTTCTTCAGCTGTTTGGCAGTTCGGAGGCTTTGTTCGTGAGCAGTCAACCTTCGGCGGATAGCACGAGTCTTCTTCTTGCGAAGATCAATCGGCTTGTGTTGTGCTTTCTGAACATAGTGAGCTTTACGTGACTATCCCCTACAACCTCTATTACGGTACCAAGCGAGCATCCACAAAAAAAAATTCAAAAGATTTATACGAAAATACAGTTAAAAACCTACCGCATACAGTTTACGGAGTTCCTGCTTCTGAGTCTGATGGATAATTGTGTGAACACGAGCAATGTTTTTCTTTACAATCTTGATCTTGCACAACTTTGCTGGCGCACCACCAGTAACCTTCGCTACCTGTAAAGAAGCTATTTACTTCCTCACTGGGCAAACTCAAGCGACTGTACGCGCTATTGTTACTCGATCCCGGTTGTTTACTGGTAGGGCAGAATATTCCTGGTAGGTATGAACGCACTCCGAGAGGATGCAAAAGGGTTTGGGATGGGTAAGTGTACTGAATCTAGAGCTACCGGAGATTATGGAGTCTATCAGAAACCAAGAAAAGCCACATAGAAATTTAATTCGCCCTGCCCACTAGCATTTCCGGTAGAGATCAGGAAAGGGGAGAAGAAGAATCGACAAATCAAAAAGCAAAACCGGGGGAAAATGGTTTCATATCAGCCAATATCACAATAGCGGAATCCGACCGTGGACTTTCCTTCCAGCGGATTTCTCAATTCACCGGCTCCCTAGCACCCTGGCTACGCACACGGGCCAGAATGTTTAGAGATCTGCAACGCATTCAATGAATAAACAGTCCCAACCCATTCTTTCTCCAAGGGTATGACTTCTTCAAAAGTCTATATCAACCAGCCAGACACGATAAGAACAAGAAAGATGTTTTAAGCGGCCGGTTTTGAAATAGTAGGAGGGTAAGAAAAAAATCTGAATCTGATTTGAGGAACGAGATCAGATCACAATGATATTGAAAGTTAATAAGCATCAAAGTTAGTTCAGGTTCATACACAACCCCTAAAACCGAAAAACTCGTAAATCGTAAGTAATTTATTCTTGTCGATTTTTAGTATCGGAGTGACGGAATAGGAAGAATCGGCAAAAAGGACTTGACAGTGAGTGCTGACTGAACTCCGACCTCCGCAGGTTTTGTGAGAAACGAGGAAAACGTCTGCCAAAGGATCGAATGCGTTCCACGATTCTAGCGATTCCGCGGACACCTCAGTTCTTCAGTAGCGCTGTACGGCACCGCGGCTTAGGTGTGCAGTCATACTTCGCGTTTATGTTTTGAGAGCTGCGAGCGTTTTGAGCGATTAAAGGAGTACTGCTATCGACTTCATTGCGTTCATACTTTGCGTTAGCATACGCCAACGTATGCGTACGCTACCGCCAGTAACTAGACAAGTATAGGTGTCGATCTAGCGTACGTCAGCGTACAGCGACTAAATCGACATCTATCCTATCCTAGCGCTTACGCTGGCGTACGCTCGAAACAGTCTTACGCTACTCAAAGTATGAACCCAGCCTTATCGTTGAGAATGGCGGATGGTGGATTATAGCTTCCTGGCCGCTCGATACGCTGCCACACTCTTAAACATAAGCTGGTAGGAAAACAGGCACAAACAGGAACCCAAACCGAGCAAAGCACTCGAGATCATGAAACCCAACCCCATTTGGAATACTCAAAGGTCACACATCACAATTAAGGTGAACCAGAAACCAATGTGTAGTCTTTCTATGAAATGTAGTAGCCAATCTCCAAGTCACAATGAACCACAACACAAAAAATGCACGTACCCTAAGTGAAGCTAATTCGGAGCTCTGCTCTGAGAGCAGCTTCATGAGGTCCTCCTTCTTCTTGCCACGAAGTTCTTGAATCTTTAACTTCGTCATTCTTTTACCTAAATAATACTGCTCATTATCAGAAGTGGGAGTGCATGGAAAACTGCAAAACGAACAATGATGATGAAATGAGCAGTACTA